TTGTAATTATATGATGAAAGGTGTCAGGGAGGTTCTTAGTAGGTATAAAGAAAGATTGTGCTAAGCACCTAACCCAGCGCTATCATTTGACTAAAATACAAAGTATAAATTAAGAAAAAGACGGTGAGGCAAGTGAATACATATATAGAAAATCTTTATTTTTATTTTTATCTTTTAACCTTGAGGGGTCGCTCAATTGGTCAGACTTTGAGTTTGCTCTTCAATAGTCACCAGCTCGAGTCCGCTCGAGGCCACTTAGGTGAGTACCTGACTGTAAACTTCAGGTCCTTGTGGGATTAGTCGAGGTGTGTGTACGGTTGGGCAAAATGTTCGAATCGAACCGAACCGAACCGAAACAGAACCGAATCGAACCGAATCAAGCGAGTTTTTTTAAATGAAATACCCGAACGAGTATCCGAATCAAGAATCGAATGGTTTGGTTCGATTCTAGGTTCTAGCCCCAGAACCGAAGCACCGAATAAGAACCGATTTTTTTTTTATATTGGATAAATCAATTTCTTTTATTTTTCGTAAATAAATTGATTATNTTGTAATTATATGATGAAAGGTGTCTGGGAGGTTCTTAGTAGGTATAAAGAAAGATTGTGCTAAGCACCTAACCCAGCGCTATCATTTGACTAAAATACAAAGTATAAATTAAGAAAAAGACGGTGAGGCAAGTGAATACAAATATAGAAAATCTTTATTTTTATTTTTATCTTTTAACCTTGAAGGGTCGCTCAATTGGTCAAACTTTGAGTTTGTTCTTCAATGGTCACCGGCTCGAGTCCGCTCGGGGCCATTGAGGTAAGTACCTGACTGTAAACTTCAGAGCCTTATGGGATTAGTCGAGGTGTGTGCAAGCTGGCTCGAACATCCACGATTATAAAAAAAAAAAAATTATCTTTTATTTTTTGGGAAAAGTATAAGCATGGTCCCCATCAGTTTTCATATTTCAAACTTTGGAAAAGATCACAAGTCTAATCTTAAAAAAAATCAGCTATTTTGATTTCTAATTAATTGTGGTAAAAGTGCACTAATCACGATGTTAATTATTTCGTGATTGCTTGTTGAATTCGTGGGGTTAGCTGAGAACTCAATTCTCATTTGGTGGAATTCATTATCTCTGCCCACATGATTAATAAGAGAGTTAGAAAATGACAATCTACTTAGAAAATTTCAAAATTAAGATGCTATTGAATGAATAATTTATTTATTTATTTTTAATAACTTCTTAAATACATTGAGGGGTTATTCGACAAATTTTTTATATACAAATTTTAGTAGATTTTGATAAAAATTGATGAAATATTTTGTTAAAAAATCGATAAAAGTTGTGAATCACGTTAAATATGTGGTTAAATGTTTACTTTGATCTCAATTTGTTTTAAAAAAAATTAAAATTAAAATTTTCCGAACAAACATTGAGTACTCGAGTCCCTTTATTTTATGATGTATAAACAAGTAACAATATCATATAAGATGTTACACACGCTTTATGAACTAAGGTTCTGACAAGTTGAATAAACTATGTGAACTCTTGGAATTATGTGTGTTTGGTCCGTCTAAAAATAAGATTTTTAGCCCATTTTGCTACTTTTCCAGTTTATTTTTGAGAACGAT